ATTAGGGTTTAGGGTTTAGGGTTTAGGGTTTACAGTATATGACATTTTTGTTGTAAATTAGGGTTTAATTTAATTTCCTCTAAACACTTTCTTTCTCCCCATAAATGTTCTGCTTGTTTAGATGATTTTATTGCGCATAAAGGGACCTCCTTTAATGCATAATAATTGCTGCTGCTGCTGCTGCTGCTGCTGCTGCTGTTGCTGCTGCTGCTGCTGGTGGCGGTGGTGGCGGTGGTAGGGGTGGAACTGCTGCTGCAGCTGCTGCTGCTGCTGCTGCTGATTGGTGTTGTACTTGGGTCGTCGGCAGTGGTTTTGTCGCAACTCTTCTGCTGCTCCTGCTGCTGTTGCTGCTGCTCCTCCTCCTCCTCCTGCTGCTCCTCCTCCTGCTGCTGCCGCTGCACTAGCCAGACATTGGATTTGCTGCAGGTAGCTAGTACCCTAATCTTCTTATAATTCCTTACAAAGGAATTGGGGGGCCCCGCGGTTGGACACCGTAAGGGGGGCCCCCCTTTGCTGAAACCCTGCATAGATCTTTTAAAATTAGGGTTTAGGGTTTAACGATTAGGGTTTAGGGTTTAGGGTTTAGGGTTTTCGGGTGTACTTGACGACTACAGCTCAGCGACGGCTGCGCTGTCTAATCAGCCGCTGAGGAACAGAAGAGAAAGAAGGAAAAGAAGAAAAAGAAATAAAATAATAAATAAATAAATTAATTAATTAATTAAATAAAAAATAACTTATTTATTTATATTTTATACTCGCGCAACAAGAACAACTGCATGCACATTGACCTGCACACATACTCACGGCTGGGGGCCCCCTGAACACCCTAAACCCTAAACCCTACCTAAACCCTAAACCCTAAACCCTGAAACCAAAAAACGTAAAACTATAATTCCTAAACCCTAAACCACCTAACGCTAAACTCTATGTTCTACACAGTAACCCCTAGACCCTAAACCCTAAACCCTAATCCCTAAACCCTAAGATAGATATAGTAGGTGTAAACATTGACAAAAAGCCCCAAGACAAAACCCTAAACCCTAAAGATTAGTCCCTAAACCCTCAACTGTAAACCCTAAACCCTAAACCCTAAAATAGATATAGTAGTTGAAAAACTATACCCTTACCCACCAAACCCTACGCCATAAAGGTTATACACTAAACCCTAAACCCTACAATCTAAATTATATACTGTAGAGCTTAAACCCTAAACCCTGGAGACAAAACCCTAAACCCTAAACCCTAAACCATTGTTCCTCAGCGCGTAGCGTACAAATAATTATTTAGTTAAAGAAAAAGATAAAATGGAGTCGTAAGCCGTAAACCCTAAACCCTAAACCCTAAACCCTAGAATGCCCCCTTCAGGATGTGATTGGGGCATCGCTGTGTCATAGAGCCATTTTAGACATCCAATTATTAGGGTTTAGGGTTTAGGGTTTATTAGGGTTTATTAGGGTTTATTAGGGTTTACAAGAGGATCGGATAGTAATTAGGGTTTTGTTTTATTTTTTTTTAATTTTTTTTGTGTCTGTAAATTCCCTTCTGCTGCTCTCTTTTTCTGCTGCTGCTGCTGCTGCTGCTGCTCTTGCTGCTGCTGCTGCTGCTCCTCCTCCTCTTGCTGCTGCCTTGTATATTCTTAGGTATTCTTACGCTAATTAATTCACCATAAGCAGCAAATAAATCTTTTAGGTCCTGTACAGACACCTCAAACCCTAAATTCTTTATTACTAATTTATTACTCCTCTTGCTGCTGCTGCTGCTGCTGCTGCTGCTGCTGCTGTGAATAATGCTGCTGCTGCTGCTGCTGCTGCTGCGTCGCTTAGATATAGATATCTGCAACAAATGACCATCAAGAACTAATCCTTGTAATTGTTTTGCTGCTGCTGCTGCTGCTGCTGCTGTTTTATATTCTACAAATCCATGACCCATAGATAACACCTGCTGCTGCTGCTGTTGCTGCTGCTGCTGCTGCTGCTGCATTTTTTTTGTTATAATTTTTGCACTAATAAATCCATCAGTATGACAAAATGCTTCTCTTAGTGCTGCTGCTGTTGTCTTAAAATTTAAATTCTTTATATATAAGGACACAAATGGTTCTGCTGCTGCTGCTGCTGCTGCTGCTGCTGCTGCTCCATCCTCATCATCTTCTTCTCCTCCTGCTGCTGCTGCTGCTGCACGTGCTGCTGTTGTTGCTGATGTTATTGCTGCTGTTTTATTGATTTCCTGCCGTTTTTTTGCTGTTGTTGCTGCTGCTGGATCAGCAGCAGCAGGAGCAGCAGCAGCAGGAGCAGCAGCAGGATCTGCTGCTGCTGTATCTGTATTATCGAGTACAGCAGCAGCAGCAACAGCAGCAGCAGCTTCCTGCTGCGCATCCTGAATAGATAGTATTTGTTCCTTGAATACAGGTACAGGAGACACCTCAATAAGAAGAGGGACATTTTTATATAATCTATAATGTAATGCTTTTGCTGCTGCTGCTGCTGCAGCAGCAGCAGCAAATTGTATAATTAATATTGTCTTAAGAGGAGACAAACAAAAACGAATTATTTCTCCATACTTAATAAAAAGAGACAGTAGCTCCTCCTCCCTAACACGAGCAGCAGGTAGATGTTTAATTATTAGTGTGTCTCCTGCTGCTGCTGCTGCTGCTGCTGCTGCTGCTGCTGTTGCAGTTGCTGCTGCAGTTGCTTCTGCTGCTGCATTTTCATCTATTTTTGCTGCAAAAAGAGACACTCCTCTACGCAAAAAAGCAGCAGCAATTAATCCCTCCCTTTCTATCCATTCTTTTGTTTGCTGCAGTACGTGTGTCTCTGCTAGTGCTGCTGCTGCTGCTGGTGTTGCTCCTGTATGCTTATGCTGCTGCTGCTGCTGCTGTACCTGCAGCAACATATCCTTCTTAGATATTGATAAATCCTCTCCTGCTGCATCTGCTGCAGCAGAAGGCAGCAAATACAATAAATTCCAACACTTTTGCTGCTGCTGCTGCTGCTGCTGCTGCTGCTGTATTTGCTGCTGTCTTTTTTGATGTTGTTGTTTCTTATAACTACTTTTTCCTGCTGCCGCTGCTGCAGCTGCTGCTGCTGCTGCTGTCTGCTGCTGCTGCGGTCTAGGTCTTGCTGCTGCTGCAGCAAGGATACGACCCCTATACACCATACCATTTAGCTGCGCAAGTGCAGCAGCAGCAGCAGCAGGAAAGACAAAGGAGACAAGGGCCCTACCTAATGGTTTGCTGCTCTCTTTGTCCCTCATTAGTAGTATTTCTTGTGTCTCTCCTCCTGTTGCTGCTGCTGCTGCTGCTGCTGCTGCTTGTCCTGCTGCTGATCCTGCTGCTCCTGCTGCAGCAGCAGCAGCACACAGACACCGCACGTCCTCCTCGCTGCAGCTATAAGGAAGATTAGTTATTAATATTCTTGCATGCTCCTCTATTAATTGTCTCTCTTCTTCTTGCTGCTGCTGCTGCTGCTGCTGTTGCTGCTGCTGCTGCTGCTGCTGCTGAAACCATTGTAAATCATCAACACTCTCCTCTTGCAGCAATGATGATAATGCTGCTGTTGTTGCTGCTGCTTCCTCTTCTTTTGCTGCATTTGCTGCTGCTCCTCCTCCTCCTCCTTTTCCTCCTCCTGCTGCTCCTGCTCCTGCTGCTGCTGCTGCTGCTGCTGCTGCTGCTTCCTCCTCTTCCTCATCAAATAGTGTGTGCTGCCTCTCTGAGCGTACACCTGCCTTAGTAGGGACTACCTGGTGTCTCCATTTGCCTGCTGCTGCTGCTGCTGCTGCTGCAGCTGCTTCCTTTGTTGCTGCTGCAGTTGCTGCAGCAGCAGCAGCAGCAGTTTGTCCTCCTTTTATATTTCCTGTAGTAGCAGCAGTACTATCTGCTGCTGCTGCTGCTGCTGCAGTATAAGAACGAGGTAATGCATAATTAACATCTATTTTTCTGGTGTATACGTAGGTCCCCTGCAGCAGCTGCAGCAGCGCAGCAGCAGCAGCTTCTGTCTCTACCCCTATAAATGCAATACCTCTACTCTTACCATCCTTATTTTTTTTTATTATACAATCAGTTATGCTGCTCCCCTTGCTGCTGCTGCTGCTGCTGCTGCTGCTCCACTTGCTGCTGCTGCTGCTGCTGCTGCTGCTGCTGCTGCACTTGCTGCTGCTGCTGCTGTTGAATATAGAGGATATATGCTCCCTTAATGCTGCTTCTGTTATAAAAGGAGGTAAATTTTTTATTATTAATCTGCTGCTGCTGTACCCAACAGGGACAGACACAGGAGTATAATAAGGTCTATTCTTCTCCTGCTGCTGCTGCTGCTGCTGTTGCTGCTGTTGCTGCTGTTGCTGTTTGTGCTGCTGTTTGTTCTGCTGTTTGTGCTTCTTAGAAGTCTGTTGTTGTTGCTTTTGTTGTTGTTGTTGCTGCTGCTGCTGCTGCTTCTGTTGATGGGACTGACGGGGGCCCTTCTGCTGCTGCTGCTGCTGCTGATGCTTGTGCTGCTGCTGCTGCTGCTTCTTGCTGCTGCCCCCTTTACTGGAGCTTCTTAGCTTAGATAGAAGCTTCATTTTGTTACTGTGGGGGGAGGAGACGATCCCGATCCCGATCCCGATCCCTATCCCGATCCCCGTCCAATGGGGCCCCTTAGGTGTGGGGCTGCATAAGGGTCCTTTTTTTTTCTTCTTCTTCTTCTTTTGTTGCTATAAAAGAAGAAGAAGAAAAAAATTAATTAATTAATTAATTAATTTATTTATTTATTTATTTATTTATATTTATTTATTAAGTATAACGAACAAAAGGTGCAACAGAAGCAGCAGCAACAGCAAACCCTCAAGGTA